TTGTAGTTTAGTTTTGCTTTAGAAGCACCCTCACCCTCTTTCAGAAAGTGCTTCCTTTTTTCAGATGTCTATTTTTCGTGAAATTTCCAGATTAGTTTGCACACGTTTGCGTATCAAAATTTCAACATGAAATTTCACGAAAATTCAGACATTTGAAAAAGGCAGCACTTTCTGATTAGCCTATACAGAAGGTGAGTAGGCCTACTAAAGCAAACATAAACTACAAACTAAGCCTAAATGTGAAAATCAAAATTTGACAAAGTTCGACATGTTTTTGTACATGGTGTGGCCTTAATTTACGGAGGTAGTCCAGTAAATTGGCCACATTGGGGCTAGAATGAATCCAGAAGTGTTCATGAATTTACTTTATTGACATCATTCGGCGTTTGTTGGAATTTGCCAGTCTGAGAATGCTTGACAGATTCCAACGACGTTTGCCACCAAACATAATTTACTACCAATCGTGTTTATAATTTACTCGTATAATCTTTATAATAGAAGCTGCTGTATACGTAACTTAAGAAAAACATGGCGAAATATATTTCTACACAAAAGACGGATAATCTGCCATTCTTATGTTATAGTTATATTTGCTGCAAATCAGGACAAACTGCTGTATATCACTCACAGTGGAAGGCGTTCGCAGCAAATTACGAGTGACAGGTAGATCGAATGGACCATTGTATAGCAGCTTTTGATTATCGTAAATTGTAACAATGAACTTGGTACTTCAAACATGGCCATGAAAATGAGCAAATCTAGTGGAAAAGAACTAACAACCCTACCAGGAATATATGCCCAAATCATCAGTCGCGAATATTGCACAGAAGGGGTCGGTACTTATGAATGATTTCTGTGAATTTACCTACCCTCCAAACAAAACTGCATGCATTAAGAGAGAAGGGGCTCGTCGATCACTAGCCGAAATGGGCAAGACGAAATGAACGTTCAAAAACACCCGAAAAGCCTGACCCAGTGAACTTTAATACTGGCAAACCAATGTGCTCTGTCCGCTCGGATACGGAGCCACCAGCCTGCCAGACTCCATTAAAGTCTCTCCTTAATTGTATTGTGTGTTGGGCAAAAAAAAAATATTCGGTCTCTGGTCAGACCAAAGTTCCGGAATTGACGCGGGGACGCGGCTTTTTGGGTTTTTTTTGGCTTTTTTTTCCCTTCAAGCTTGGATTGTACAGACAAGGTGGGGTACTATTTTGCTTTTGTTGGTGTCCTCATGTACACTGGTGTCCTCAATAATTTGCATTGGTGCTCTCGATCATTTGCCTTAGTGCAATTTCCCATTCCTTGGTGCTCTTTGGTAAAAAAAAAATGAGGAGGTGCGGCAATAGAGAGCGCTGTTGGAGCTACCACGGAACATTTTGGAAAAAAAAAGATTGACGCGCATAAATAAATCGACGCGCGCGCTGACCAGAGACTGACTTTTTTTTTGGCCTTACTTCAATTATTTTCTGATGTTTGTACTATTGTTAAAATTGTCTTTATGCAAAGAACACTTTCAGGTATACATTTGACAAAATCCTCAGCACTATCTTAGTCCATATTCAGACACCGTGTAAGCTAAAACGGTAAAAGTTAAAACGGTTGCTCACCACGGGAGGCCCGTCGTAAAAATAAAATTACCGAGCGTCCAGACATCGTTTTAAGTATAGCAAGTTCAACTCGAAGTATTTTATCTCCACCCTCGTCCCCAGTGCTTACTTTTTCCAACATCGTTTCCAATATTAGTGGTGGGCGCGTATACTGCTCGACACCCTGGGGACGAGGTTGGTTTATCTCAGTTTCTAAGGTCACGTTAAACATCCGCCTTGGCAAAAACCAGGCGCTAAAAAGAGCTTTCACTCTTCCATTTTTACAGTTCGCTACACGTGGTCTGAGCCCCTCACCGTGTGATGCGTATTGCCATGCCGTGTTTGACATCACAGCCTCAGCCGGTCATGCAGCGTGGCACGCCAGTAAACATGACGACGGTCACTTGTCCACCGCGGCGATTTCCCCATTTTTTGGAAGTATCGTACATCGGACTTATATACACCATTTGTGTTTACATTTTGGGGGCTATTTTTCTGTACGTTCCGTGGTGCAAAAAGACATAAAAATGATCTGAATAGTTGTTCGAAAACCAGTGTTCGAAACAAGACGTCATTGATTTCACTCAAGGCACGCATCAACTTGCCCGCTCAACATGTCAATCACGTGAAAATACACGTGATATTAACGTTGCAATATTGACCAATCAATGCCAAGGTTTTCCTGGTAGTTAGTGTATTGTAGCGAAATTATGGTCCGAAGTTAGGACGCCCTCTTTTAGTTAGTTTATTCATGAATGCCGTGACGCATGCATACCGCGCGGCTTAATAAGCAGTGCGCGGTGGCAGGAAAGTTACTCTCTGGCGGGAACAGTTCGAGGCAGTCAAAGTCCTGTGAGTAGTTATGTACAGTCCGTCATTGTCCCGTCCGTCGTAGTTACTGCAGAGTCCGCACAGAGTCACGTCCGTTGAAGTCCCGTTAGAGTCACGTCCAGTTTACTGTTAGCCTTGTGAGTAGTTCAGTGTAGTCCAGTGCACCCTTTTTGGAGTAAATAGACCAAGTCACCGCAGTTAAGCTCTCCCTCAGTGTGTAACCCTATTTAGGTGATCATAGGCGCCACTATAGTAATCCTACCAAGGTGATCTTTTTTTAATAAATCATTATTCCAATTACACATCGAGTTTGAGTGCTGTTTTGTAGAAACATCAGACCCCAGTCCCATCCCATTCCCCTGTGTCCGCCCAAGTACAACTAGTGTCTAATCCAACCCCGGTGTGTGGAAGGAAGCAGCTGCGAGCGCCTGGCGGTAGACTGCCCCAAAACGGACCTGTTCCCCTGGCCTTCCCTACAACCGCTCGTCGGGTCGGCAGAGGGCAATCCCAGGCTACATCGACACAGGCCGCCACAGTATTATGATTATTATGCTCCGGTTAGCGGTTGTTGCCTTGGCAACTACACGTTTGTCATCGCATCGTGTGTGCGAGTACTTGAGCACGATGTGAAACTCGGACCATGTGGTCAGAAAACTTGCGGAAAACTTAAGATATTAACTAGTGAACCAATGAAGTGGAACACCCCGAATTCCATAGTAAGTTTAGTGGTAGTAGGCAGCTGTGTTCGTTAGTGAAGCTCTTAATGTAATAAGTAAGCGGGGGTGCGCTAGTCCAGTCAGTTGAAGAGGGGAGGATATCCGTCAACGGAAAGAGGTAGCGAGGCCGTAGTGGTGAGTGGACGTTAACTTATAGTGGGGAAGATGTATAACTTGTACAGGGAACTCGCACCTGTTTAGGAAACCCGCACCTGTTTAGGGGAGGTACCTGGGAACACCTGTCAAGGTCTAGATATGATTTACCGTCCGCCCTGAGTAGCTAATCATAAACGAGTGTCAACATCAAGAGAAGAGTCCCGTGTTTGATTTAGAGGTGCCCCGTCTTCCTTCCACTGCACTGTTCCCCTGTGTGCTTGCGCGAGTGCTGCAGGCGTAATAGACCCGCCCGAAAATAAAGTTGTTACCCTGCTGCGCCTGGCAGTAGACTGCCCCAAAACGGGCCTGCTCCCTTGGCCTTCTCAGAATTGACCGCTCGCTGACGTCGGCCGATGACCGTACTCGGGGTTGCTGTAGGCACGACCGCCAAAATACTTTCAATGGGGTCGCTGTTCAAATCCGACGATTATTAATCAACACAATCACGGATGATGCCCTGGCCTGGATGTCTACCCTTAACCCACAACTGTAGGCTATGCACGCAATACGAAATAATAAGACTGTCAATACAGACTAAAATCCATAACCATGCTGGCTCTGTCCCTAATTTGTCCACATATGTGGAAATTATGAATAGTATTGTTTGTGGGTTTCATAGAGCTGCATGGTGTGTGTGTGTGTGTGTGTGTGTGTGGGGGGGGGGGGGGGGGTGACACCCCATCCTTGATACGCACCCCCCTCCCCCCCCCCCCCCCCCATTGATACACGCATGCAAGGAAACTGGTTATCACATTTGTTTTAATAGCGTACACATGTAATCAACATCAATTTGTTTTGTACAGCCGACGCAGGCTTGTTTACTCTATGGCTATAACAGATCAGTAAGTGAGCGTGCCCCTTTAAGTCGAAGGCTGCACCTTTAACGGGTATTGTTTATGTTGCAGTTCAAGGGCAGCCCCTGAGCATTCCTTTGGTTAACGTCGTTCAGTCTTCTGTCGCACAAAATGTACAGTGCATTTGTTTAATTCACTATACTTTCGCTAATTAGAAGTTACAAGCTAGAATAAGCACTATATTGCTTTATATCAGTTAGTTCTTGTGATCATTTCAAATTATTTCCGTGGACTTTTGTGATTGTTTATTGACTGAACTTGTGTTGGAGTTATCGACTCGGGTGAGCTCAAACCGTATACATGTAATACGTCAGTGTGCGATCAGTTTGCCCAACTTTCTGCATGCCATTTGGACTCGGCCCAGTTTTGGCCGTTTTATATACACTCGAGATCGTGTTGTTTAACTTAGCATTAAACTCAGACAGAAGTTGTCTAAAAACACTAATTAATCACGATCTAAAATACATGCAGTATTTTACAATCACGATTTTTTCCCTCACTTTTGCACAAGTGGTCCACTTCCATAGAATATTAATTAGCTTAAAGTGGAGATCTTTTTTAATTTGTGTTTAGTAATAATCGGTTGAATTTCGAATGGTTTTCACTCTGATTTTTACCGACATAATTATACTCAATGAATGGTTATCGTGCACTGCATAAGCTTTTGCGTATGCATTGAACCACTACATATATAATTCAATGGCATATGCGTTAGTTCGCAGTATAATGGAGAGCCTACGAAGGCAATGGAGGGATTTTTCAAAGGTAACAGTGCTCAACAAAAAAGTGTCATACAATACCAGTCCTTGAAAAGGGGCAGGCTTTTATTGTACGCTCTAGAGCTTTTGAAGCAGCCTGTTAAGACATAGGAAAACGCCATTTCAGTACGATTGTATGATGCCATTGACGAACCGCACTTGCACGCACCTATCGCTTCTTTGGGGGGCAACGGATCAAGGAGAACAGTTGTGACTTGCTCATGTACGTATATAGTTGCAAACAAGTATTTGTTGTTTTTAGAGAATTGTGGACGGACATCTCTAGACAGGATCAACTTACATCAGGGCTTTTGGACAGCAAATTTACTCTGTTTTATGACTGGAATTTTGGTAGTAGGTCTAGGCCTGTCCTGAAGCCGGCCGCGGCCGTGTTTCAGGTTGTGAATTTGGCCTACAATGAGTCATTGCAAATTAAATATGATATTCATGTGGCCTCAGAATATGGAATTCCACCACAATGAGCCCCTTTCTGTGTAGGAAACCGTCTATAGACACTTGGAGTAGCGTCATTAGTCAATATTTGTGTGAACATTTTGTGACAATTGCAGCATTAGAATTGAGGATATGTGAATACTGAATCGAGTGACTTTACATATTGCAAATATACACGTTCATATCCGGTGGTATACACAACTTTTAACGGACAAAACTTCCGGGTTAACTAGAGGTCGTCCATTGTTTGTAGGCCTATAGGCTCCGAACTACGTGAAAATCGACAGTCTGCAAGGTAAACGCATTAAAGGGAAGCACTTGTGCACTTTCGTGTGCCTGTTCGGATTTTTTTTTCAATAGGGCAAATATATTGAGCCACGCACACGAGGGTACGAGTTGACTGGGGTGCCAGCTGACTTGGATACGAATCGATGGTGTAAATTGTTGGTTAGGGGTTGATTCGGGTACGCATTAACCTGGGTACAAGTTGACCCGTTTCCTTTGACAGAGCCTGAAAGCAAAAGGTCCCTCGACGAGGGTTGCCCTTTAATTTCTCCTTAGCTATATTTTTTTTTTGTCAGAATGATTTCTAACCGTAATCTCCCCAAGAAACATTCATCTGTGTTCAGAATTTTACCTTCGTTATCCTCAATAAAACTGATGAGAAATCACTTGCAGATGAGTAAAAAACAATTATTTGTAAGCAATCTTTCCCGCAATTCTGTTCGATATCCTTATTCGTTCAAGTGTGTCAGTCTCACATTGCAGTTTTGCCTCAGAACAAAACATTTATAAACGACGCCAACATTTACTTACCTACAGCCGATGGGTTCAGTCTACATGCAATTCAGTCGTGCTGGCTTGAATACAGTCCTTTTAAGCGGTTATTTTTCATGATAAGGTGCCAATGAGTCCTTCAAGTTTATTTTAAAAAAAATATTTATCCTAAAAAACAGCTAAGTCTCTTATTTAATTTTCAATTTTCACCCGATAACCGTCACAAAATTCAAGTAAATGAAAGGTTTGCAGAAACAGAATGTGCGAATAATTGCAACTAAGAGAATGGTTCTGAAAAGAACCTGAGGTATAAACTCGACGTTCCGGTCAGTATGCTCTGACCGTCTTCCGGAGAGTGCCTAAACTGTAAGAAAGTAAACACCTAAGAGTTTAGGCACTCTCCCGAAGACGGTCAGAACACACTTACCGAAACGTCGAGTTTATACCTCTGGTTATTTTCAGAACCATTCTCTTAGTTGAGAAATTATTCGCACATGGCGTTTCCGAAAACCTTTCATTTATTAGTATCTCCACCATGCAAAACCTCAAATCTTACTTGTCTAAAAAATCGTTCATGCATGTACGAGTACACCGTGTTCACTTGTATCAGTGCATTTTAAATGTTTTTGTAGTGATAGGTCGGTTTGTGGCACGATATTTCTCTTTCAAATCAGGCAACATTTCGGTGTTCATACATTGAGATACTAGTTACAATTTTACAAAGGCCTTTTCATTGTATCAAGAATAAGTGCATCATTTTATACTTTTTGCAAGATAATGTTGCTATTCACAGTTACGGAAGCGCGCCTCTATGGGATTGAACTTTCAGACTCTATTATTCTTTAAAGAAAAGGCGTACAGTTCTCATTTTAATAGACAAAATAAAATATGCCATGGTTATTTTATGATTTGTTTTCGGTCCGAATTATTTTATCAGAGCCATGGAAAACAATGGCGAAATTAACGCTGCTGCATCATCGACAGAATATGCAACTTCAACCGGAGAAACCCCGTCTCGAGACACCCCGCCCACGTTATCTTTGGCCAATCAGGACAGCGCAGACCAAGAAAACGACAACACCAACAAAAGCTTCGAGGAGAAACCCGCAAGAGCCAAATTCACCTACCACCAGAAAGCCACATTTGCCAGCGCTGTGCTGGCTTCACTGGCAAGCATGATGGCCTTTTCCATTATTTCTGTTTTCTACCCCATCGAGGTGAGTACCCAAACGGGCCATATTTCTTTCGAGCGAATGAGGGCACTGTGTACAACGACGCCATTTTTAGGGGAAAACATATTCTTGTTGACATACATTACATGAGAAAATTAGAAATAATTACATTCTAACAATATTTATGTTTTAGCAAATTGTGGTGAAATAGAAAACTATCAGAAGCAAGATTTCTAGAAATGTTAACGGCAAGGTTGGATTGTAACAATCAATTAATAAAAAAAAACGAACTTGTTAGCTTTAGAACTGGACCCATCCTGCTCATCCCTTACACGTGAACAGATTCACTGATTAATTAGGCAAAACCCCGCCTCCCGCCCACCCTTAAGCGTGAACAGATTCGCTGATTAATTAGGCAAGACCCCGCCCGCCTTGACCTCCAAGATTTGACCAATCAGCGGGCGCTTTCTATATCGAGTCTTCGGTCATTCACCTGTTGCGCGTCAGATAGACAGTGTTCCGCACTCTCTATCATGTTAGGCGATATGGGGCCAGTTGTTGTTGTATTACAAAACACTGCATTTGAATTGACCACAAAACCAATTTAGTCCTGATTTGGGAATGAAATGACGTCACGATTTAGTAAAGTCGACTCTGATTGGCTAGCGTGCGTGCTTGCATACATTTGCATGTCAGGAGATGTCAGACGTTATACAGGATTTGTCTCCGTGGATAACGGGTTATACTCAGACTACCCCACCCCACCCCACCCCTCAAAACAAACAAACAAACAAACAAACAAACAAACACCCCAACACCCCAACAAACAAACATACTAACACCCCAACATCCCCAACACCCCAACAAACAAACAAACAAACAAACAAACAAACACCCTAACAAAAACACGCTCCACGATTGTATGTCTTTAAAACAGTCTCCCAAAAATAGAATAATGAACACGTGTGTTCCTCCAAGTTTGGTCCTTATAGTCCGTGGGCCAAAGCCTGTAACGTGCAATCTCGACTTAACGTTTTAGTGGCAACTTCATTTCTCAGTTGTAAGCAGTTTTAAACGTGTCCACTTTTATGCTTAATTCATAAATACCTAAGGCAGTTTACATATTCCCATGTGAGAGCCCGGTCGTCAAGTGGCCGTTCTTAAACGAACGATAAAGACATGGCTGGCTGGTCAAAAGACATTTGGACTCCTATAAAATCCAGTGCCTGTTACCGGTTTATTGGTTGAACGTTCACAAAACTCACGTACGCATGCGCAATACTGCCATACTGCGGTGAGTCAGTATTTCATAGTCCTTATTTCACAACACACTCTCCACAGCTGCATCTACTCGTCATTTATAATTGGAGTGGTCTACGTATTACTCACGAGCCGGACAATCCAATTATAGCTAGAGAGGTGTTTGTTGAACAAAATGGTTTGACATTTTCAATGTTGACTGTTTTCGAATTTTAGACCGCAAAGTTATTTCACCTATAACTCTTGAACGTAAATGATCAACAATGTCCCAACTTTGTAATCAGATAGACTATTAATTGATAAGCATTGTTTTGTCGTGTACGTGAACTCGTTTGACCTTTACTTCAGGATATACCTGAAGGTAAAACATAGTTGAATTCAAAATGAAGAAATTACCCTGAAATTAAAACAAAGCAACATTCCTTCTGGACGGTTTACGGGATGATCATTATTTGTACGTGTACCTTAAATGAATACTAAAATGCATCGTACCCTATTAATAGATGCATTTTTTTAACAAACTAATTGGTTGTACTGGAAAGGTTAAAGTTCGTGAACCTTTGTTCTGACATAAACATATTTTCTAATCGTAACATGTTAAGTCACCAGAAACGAAATGTAATGACAGCACTAAAACGAATGACAAAAACGAATTTGCTCTTTCAATACAACGCCGATTGCTACACGAGACGAATTTCACAAACTCAGGATGAATCGGTATGCTAACAATTTGAATTATACTGAACCTTAAATGGAATCTTGTGGTGGCTTTTTGAAATTTAAATTGAGAATTGAGCTTGCCATGTTCGGGACGAAATCGAGGAATTCGTGTGATACAAGTGTTAAAACCTATATTATTATTGATATTACTTTTACACTTAACAGGCAAAGGCGAAAGGGATGTCACCGACTGTAATTGGACTGGTGTTTAGCGCATTCGCCTTCTCTTCAGGAATTGGATCACCAATTTGGGGCAAAATTGTAAGTTGACTTCATTATAACCAGAGTTGTAGCGAGTCACTGATTTGTATCACTCGAGTCGAGTCTCGTCATTTTAAAGAAGTGACTCTAGTTTAGTCACTCGAGTCCAGTCAGATTGTGTAGTCGAGTCGAGTCGAGTCGAGTCGAGTCAAGTATTTAGCTCAAGTCAATTCGAGTCACAGATATTTGAACACTATACAATAAATAAAACACAAGAGAGAATGTATTTTTTGGGCTTTTTTTTTACTTTACATTCGGGCTACTACATGTGATGACCCTGCATTTGACTCTTAATGAAAATAAAAAGGGTGTGCCAGGTGATCGCCATTCAAATAAGGGGGATAATAAATCCACGTATGTAGGCCCTGCACATTTTTCGCAAACATTCTAACGTGACGTGAACAAAATCCGGCACCGGCGTAAGTCATTGTAAATATTTTTTTTTTCTCGAAGAGTTTCTGTTATGTTTCGGACTTAAGTCTTATTATCCTTCCTCGAGTCGAGTAGAGTCATTCTGATGAGGAAGTCGACTTGAATCGACTCGACTCGAGTTGAGTCGAGTCGAGTCATTTGTTCGCAGTGATGACTCGAGTAAAATCAAGTCATTTGCCCTACTCGAGTCGAGTCGAGTCATCAAAAATGTGACTCGAGTCGGACTCCAGTCGAATCATTACAACTCTGATTATAAAAAAAAACATCGTCAAAAGGCAGGGTTTTGTTTCACACTTGGTCTACATGCAGATCACGTCAGATATTTGAACACTATACAATAAATAAAACACAAGAGAAAAGTTTTTTTTTTTTTTTTTACATTCGTGCTACTACATGTGATGACCCTGCATTTGACTCTAAACAAAATCCGGCACCGGCGTAAGTCATTGTAAACATTTTTTTTTTCTCAAAGAGTTGCTGTTATGTTTCGGATTTAAGTCTTATTAGCCTTCCCCGAGTCGAGTCGAGTCATTCTGATGAGAAAGTCGACTTGAATCGACTTGAGTCGAGTCGAGTCATTTGTTCGCAGTAATGACTCGAGTAAAATCAAGTCATTTGCCCTACTCGAGTCTAGTCGAGTCATCAAAAATGTGACTCGAGTCGGACTCGAGTCGAATCATTACAACTCTGATTATAAAAAAAAGCATCGTCAAAAGGCAGGGTTTTGTTTCACACTTGGTCTACATGCAGATCACGTCGAGTGTACATTTTGTTGTTTGAAACCATGATGCTCAGTTCAACTAGATTCTATATAATTCAAATGACCCATTGGTGGTTGGAGTTAATAGTTTGGGCAGATATATAATGGGATTGTGCCTTTCATGATCCAAGCATTGAAATTGGTACACAGTCCTTAGAGTTGAAAACAAATGTCGGTGGAATAACAAGTAAATCATGGCAACTATTGTGAAAACTTTGAAAATGTTTGTGATTCCAACTATATTTCTTCAAAGGACAAATCTGCTATGGCCTTATGGCCAAATATCTTTCTAATGTCAATATCTATGCTTGTGTCATCAAAGTCGGGATTCCCCCAAATATGAACGTTTGAACATGCAGCGATGTGTGCTTTTTTTCCCGAAATGAGTTCTAGTACTGTTTATGAAGCCTCGTGTCTGCTCTTGAATATCGTGAAAAACGGCACACAAACAGTTGGTTGTTCACAAGTTTTAATGCTCTCAAAACTCACAAGTATGTCTTGCACCTGCTATCCAATGATTAACAAACTTCTGGAACGTCAGTAGGTTAAAGCACACATCAATTGACTGAATAAAACTTTGAGGAAACTTTCAACGTTGGAATAAAACTTGCACAAAGCAGAATGAAAATGATAAGTCAGAGGTCACATACATGTCACACTGCGCAAACGCAGCACAGCGAGAGTGAACTCTGGTGCCTATGGCAACCAACAATTATTAACATACTTGTTTGTATGGAACGCCTGATGTAGCTGAAAGCACAAACAATTAATTATATACATGTCACTACAAACATTAAAAACTGGAGTGGTACTGATGCCGAACAGAAGTGTGCAAAGGATTTTGTCGATAACACCAGATTATTCATCTCAGCTCTCGTTTTGAAAAGCACCATCCTTGCCCCCATCATGGTTGGAGAATCGAGTTTTGAAGCATCTAGCTCGGCCTGAGATCTTGGTGTCGTTATAGACAGCACTTTGGAAATGAACGACCATTTTCGCGCCATCACAAAGTCAGATTTATTTGCTCGGGTAAAATCGACAATTTTTTTTTTTATTTCTGTGTACAAAGTCTAAGGGAAAAATTAAATATTCAAAATTCTATAATAAATTAGTCGATGACGTCACCATGACGTAAATCTTCGGCACACAACTTCAGATGCTGGTCTAAGGGTGTGCCAATTATAACGTTAATCGGATTGATTTTATTGCCCAAAGTGCCTTCCACTGTAAAAACGTGTACAAATGCCATGAGGAATGGCTGAAAAAAAGGAAAAAAAAAAACATTAACGAAAACAAAGGCTGTTTCGGCAAAAGTGCCGAAACAGCCAATAATCATCGAAAGTATCAGCATCAGCGACAGTAAAACAGTGATAGGCAGCAGCAGCATTATCACAAGCATCACAAGTAACAGAGATCGCACTGACTGCAGCAGCAACCAAAACAATTTTATTTATTTTCAATTGTTATTAGTATAAGTGTATTTACCTGATAGAATTCAGCCTATTGTATGTACATATTAATGTATTAGCTTAATTTGTAATTACGGGTTCCAGGTCTTGTACAAACATATGCTTTTTACCTGCATCCCTCGTATCATTCTTTGTCATTCTTTATATAGTTTCCTGTTTATTATGTTGTTTGTGCTATGATATGAATAAATAAACCATAACCATAACCATAACCATAACCAACAACTACAACATTAACAGAAAACAAACACAAACATATTGGGATTATCCGGATTATCTGCAGAAACCAATCAGCAAACGTACCCGACAAAAAATGCACCCGTCCAGACGCCAGATAGTATGGACGACAACCCAAGGTTGGTAGGAATACCATACCATCTGTTGAGGTAAATTAATGACAAAAAGCGTCAATAAGATAACCCTGTATATATTCATGAATGTTTTTGTATGTGGGAAGTCCAACACAATAAATGGAGGCTCAACCTCAAGGCACAGCCTGTTTAATTTAGCATTATTTCTTAACAAAATCGCTTTATATTCTATTGAAAGCACAAATACTATATCAAAAGAAATTGACAATAACTGTAACTAGTATTATGTAACAAATGGGGCACTCTCTTAAAGTGACGCCACGAATATTGAATATGTTTTTTACTACAATCTACAAAATGAATACAATTATTGTTATTGGAGTGGTAAGATGGATGACAGTGACTGCACTTCTAACAGCCTATGGACTATACAGATTGTGTTTTATGGAGATCAGTGGCACTTACTCTGCAGAGCTGAACATGTCCACAAACGTCGGCATAACGATCAAGCTAATCATTATGGTGCCAGTGGGAATGACAAGAATAACAAGCAGCTTGGAGCTGTAGAAGCAAAAACATCATCGGTTGTAGTTTCAAAGAACACCTAAAATAAGTCTTCAGCATCTTTACGCACAGTCATGGACTACAACTAGACGAAAACATGTTGCCTGTTTTGGACTGATACATTATACTTTTTTGAATATTTATTTATACCGTTTTAGGAAATAATGCGATACGGTTACGGAACGTTTCCCTAAATTGTGAAAGACAATAAGCGTAACAGGTTTTAACATTTTTGAGAGATAATGGCAGACACATACGGAGGGCACTATTAGGTTTGTTTGAACTCTTGTGTACATTGTATATTCACCGAAATTTACCAAAAAAAGAATAGCGCCCTCCTATTGTGCCCGCCATAATTTCCAAAAGGCTAAAGGAGATGGCGTTAACTACTGATTTTACTTACGAGTGTATGTTCAGCAATGGCGACGGTCCGAGGAATAGGAAGAAAAGTGCGCTGCCAAATGCTCCGAGGACGATCATAATTCGTGTGGCTTTCTGAAACCAGTAAAATCCACATGTTCTAATAGGACCAACTTAATAGTAAATAATCTTTAACCCTAAAGGGGCCGGGCCGGAATCCGACCCCCCTCAACTTTTTTTTCCGCGATAGCTTTCAAGAAAACAAATTTCGCGATCCAAGCTGTTTCGACTTTTGTAGCCTCGGGCCTTGCGCATCTTTGATACCAAAAAACATAACATTCAGACCACTGGTTGCTGCGCAGCGAAAAAAATTCCGGTGAAAACTGAATTTCACAATGTATACGTTGTGCACACAGAGCAGAATTACCATTCATGCATGTGACTGATTAATTAGCCATAATTCCAAACCCCTTTAACCTATACTCATGAAATTTCTTGCGTATGTTCATGAATAGTTGTTCTATGCACGTACCGAGTTTCATAATTTGTTGTAGTCGATGGCCAAGATCTTAGTGGGAGGGGGGGGGGGATCCCCCGGCTGTGAGATGGTAAAAATAACCCGGCCCTTTTAGGGTCAAACGAGGCAAAGAAGTGGCGGTTCTAGGTGGGGGGGGGGCTATTTTTGCCCACAATTTAGATTTAAGGTCATTCAACTTAACAAGACCGCGACATAATCAAATGGCGATCATTGTGATTTTACGGGCTCCTATTTAGTTTTGGTCAAGTACATGTACTTTGAGTCAAGAGTGTGTTTATAATTCCAAAACAACTTCTTCATAATTTCAAAACAATTTCATACATTGTACATTTGGATTGCGCTTGCGCACAGTAGGGGGTTAAAACCACTGCGTATGTCATGTACGTATGGGGAGGGAGTCTAAAAACTCAGTATTTTGTGCGTATGTGCTTTATGGACGGTCCAGTTTATTCATAGAAACATGCCACAACCTTTACGCTATAATTGACGACCAATGGAAAAACTGGCATCAAGCAATGAAAGCATTTTTTTTCTAAACGTCCTTGTGCTATTTTCGTAACACAAGGGCAGATTGATTCGATCCACTGGTTCAGCTGACCTTTCGATCTTGGTATTGTAGTCAGAGCAGAGCCAGATGTTCGCACGGTGGGATACAAAGCCATTCCGACAAAATTGTCTAGCCCCCCCCCCCAAAAAAAAAAATATATATATTCCATAACAAAATTTAAAAATTGCACACGCCAAATGTAAGAATGTGACGTACATGCGAACGGTCTCTCCCTAGATAAATAGTCGTGAGAAGGGTGCATTTGTATACTTTTAGTTAATATATATGCCTGATTGTAGGATTTTATCAGCGCTACCCATTGGAGATTTTTAACCCTCAGAGAGGTAATGAGCATAAAACACCCCACATCTATATAGCCCCGCCCTTGCTCTCACGTACCTTTGCGTCCGCAACAGCTCCCCAAATAACGGAGAAAATTGCGTATGGTAAACCGAAACTTAGAAAGAGTAAGCTGATCTGCATCACAGTGAAATCAAGCTGTAGAAAAGAAACAAAAGAAAATCGCAAAACTACCAAACAAGTGTATAATATTTTGACAGTAAGGGAATTGCTAAGTGGGTAAATATTACGTAAACAAACCCACCGCATTATTAATACATGTACATTGAATATCCATGCATGGCCGATTTATAGAACCATGACATCGGTTGTGCATGCGCTACCTGCTTTATGGGTGCATTATGCATTTTGATTACCATACAAACGTACCTTTTTCAAATAAACCGCTAACGTTGGGTCGATGGATGCGAAGCAAGTCGCTGCCACAGCAACAGCCAGGAAGGCCACCCAAATAGCCGTATGCTCAGAACTCGAATCATTGGACCAGACTCTTCTTTTTTGTTTCCTGATGACAAAAGAACCAATATAACCAAGTGCAACCTATTTCAAGACCATACATTTATTCGTTTTGCCAAAGCAAGATCTATGCAAACATGTTTATCGCCCTGACTTTTTGAAACAATTAATACATTTTAGGCGAAATCATTGGATCTAGGGGCAGTGGCGTAGCCAGGAATTGTTCAGTGTGTGTGTGTGTGGGGGGGGGGGGGGCGCTGGGGGGCTGGAACATTTCTTGGGGGGGGGGGGCGTCATGTTGATCAATGACTTTTTTTTAGAAACTCAAAATCTCAGTGGGGGGGGGGGCATGGGGGCGACAAGGTTTCGTGGGGGGGGGGGGGGGGGGGGCTGTCCCCCCCCCACGCCCCCCCCCCCCCTTGGCTACGCCACTGTCTAGGGGAAACTCACCTGTCTGAGGCAATAAGAAGAAATTGACGACATCTATTGCTAGAACAACCCCGCCCAGGACAAAGAACGGAAGCCTGAAGCCGCCAGCCTAGAGCCAAAAAATAATATTAAATAAACTATTAATGCTATAATAGGGCGACTTTCCCTAGACTTGTGCACAAACCTAAACCGTCACCTAGCCCAGGTTTACCTTATCCTTTCTCCACGAAAATCTAGTAAGTGAATTATGTAAGTGAATTCAAAGTATCTGACAGGGCACAAACTATTTTTGAGGTTTTGTAGCTTTTTTTAATGAACGTTTTGAGTTTTGTAGCTTTTTTTTTAAATAAACGAGCAATTTTGTTTGTATTTTTCTGTCTAGATTCCTGTTTTTGGAGCTCGTTTCATTTTTCTGGCAGGAGCGTTCGTCACAGGTGGATGCAATATCTTGTTTGGGTGAGCAATTTCTTGGTGGAACATTTAAAAGCTCTTTGCTGCTAAGTGGGACGATTTAAGCCGTAGGTGGGCGGTTCTGCTTGATTTATGCACTTCGATGATTTATAATCGGTCCTTTATTGCGAATCAATCATCTATTGACACTTTGCTTGACAGGTTTGTTATTGACATGCCAACCTACGCAACTTTCACTGCGTTCAGCTTCGCCATAAGGCTCTTGGAAGGGCTTGGCACGTCGGCCACACTTACTGCGTCATCGGCCATTGTGGCGTTTAACTTTCCCGAGAACGTCGGAACAACAGTGGTAAATCGCTGGAAATGCGTGGACAGATCTGTCTGTGACCTATATAGTTGTGGTGCTAGATCAGTATAAACTGGTGTAAAAACTGACAAAGAAATTGATGTTGTGTCAGTGGGTAATGTGTGAAATCAAGAGTGAGATCGGTGTCGGACTGGTGTGCGATTCATGTGAAACGGTGTTTATGAGATGCGTGAGACGAGATCATGCGCGTGAGAAATACGTGGGGTTCATGTGTTGTCGGTGTGAAGTAGTCGGTGTTAATTTGTGCAATACAGGTGTAAAATTAGTGTGAGATCAGTGCAATATTGATGTTATTTTAGTGTGAGATTGGCGTGAGATCAGTATAATATGGGTCTCAGATCAGTGTTAGATTAGTGCATAAGATCGGTGTGAGATCACTGCATTATTTACACGTTTGTAAACATGTTTGTAAACAGAGCTTGGTCGAGATGGCAGGAGGGCTGGCATTTGCAATCGGACCAGCAATTGGTGGTGTGCTTTATGATGTATGTACGCATTTACAATGCTCATTCTTTTTAAATAAAATATAAACCGGTGGAGGACAAACTCAATATTGAGTTTATTATTTTGTCATCTAATTATTGACCATGTTGTTCTCATTGGACGCCAATTCCAGGCTACAAACGATAAAGAAAACTTATTGGTTTTTCATACGATTAACTAGATTGCTTGATTGTTAACAAACGTTTTGTATTTAAAATTAACTTGTACGCTCCAAAATGGCGTCGTTTAATTAATACAGCGCCCTCAATCCCTCAGAGACGATTTATGCTAATTTCTCGTCCAACAAAACAAGGTCAACGAGCAAGCCGGTTATCTGTAATGAAAAAGAAAACACTTGTTGAAATAGTTATTATTATTATTAGTAGTAGTTGTAATTTACAGAATCCCGCAAACGGGCGACATTTTTTTTTTTCAAGTCGCGTCCGGATTAGGGCGACACGCCTTATTGTGGCGACAATTTGGTGTCGCCCCTTCGGACAAGGATTGTTTTGTCGCAAACCATCTACATGTACATCGATTCCTCCTTGTCCAATTAGTAAAAGTACAGATTTTTCGTGGAGAAAGGATAAGGTAAACCTGGGCTAGGTGACGGTTTAGGTTTGTGCACAAGTCTAGGGAAAGTCGCCCTATTATAGCATTAATAGTTTATTTAATATTATTTTTTTGGCTCTAGGCTGACGGCTTCAGGCTTCCGTTCTTTGTCCTGGGCGGGGTTGTTCTAGCAATAGATGTCGTCAATTTCTTCTTATTGCCTCAGACAGGTGAGTTTCCCCCTAGACAGTGGCGTAGCCAAGGGGGGGGGGGGCGTGGGGGGACAGCCCCCCCCCCACGAAACCTTGTCGCCCCCCAGTGCCCCCCCCCCCCCCCACTGAGATTTTGAGTTTCTAAAAAAAAGTCATTGATCAACATGACGCCCCCCCCCCCCCCAAGAAATGTTCCAGCCCCCCAGCGCCCCCCCCCCCCCCACACACACACACACTGAACAATTCCTGGCTACGCCACTGCCCCTAGATCCAATGATTTCGCCTAAAATGTATTAATTGTTTCAAAAAGTCAGGGCGATAAACATGTTTGCATAGATCTTGCTTTGGCAAAACGAATAAATGTATGGTCTTGAAATAGGTTGCACTTGGTTATATTGGTTCTTTTGTCATCAGGAAACAAAAAAGAAGAGTCTGGTCCAATGATTCGAGTTCTGAGCATACCGGCTATTTGGGTGGCCTTCCTGGCTGTTGCTGTGGCAGCGACTTGCTTCGCATCCATCGACCCAACGTTAGCGGTTTATTTGAAAAAGGTACGTTTGTATGGTAATCAAAATGCATAATGCACCCATAAAGCAGGTAGCGCATGCACAACCGATGTCATGGTTCTATAAATCGGCCATGCATGGATATTCAATGTACATGTATTAATAATGCGGTGGGTTTGTTTACGTAATATTTACCCACTTAGCAATTCCCTTACTGTCAAAATATTATACACTTTTTTGGTAGTTTTGCGATTTTCTTTTGTTTCTTTTCTACAGCTTGATTTCACTGTGATGCAGATCAGCTTACTCTTTCTAAGTTTCGGTTTACCATACGCAATTTTCTCCGTTATTTGGGGAGCTGTTGCGGACGCAAAGGTACGTGAGAGCAAGGGCGGGGCTATATAGATGTGGGGTGTTTTATGCTCATTACCTCTCTGAGGGTTAAAAATCTCCAATGGGTAGCGCTGATAAAATCCTACAATCAGGCATATATATTAACTAAAAGTATACAAATGCACCCTTCTCACGACTATTTATCTAGGGAGAGACCGTTCGCATGTACGTCACATTCTTACATTTGGCGTGTGCAATTTTTAAATTTTGTTATGGAATATATATATTTTTTTTTTTTTTTTGGGGGGGGCTAGACAATTTTGTCGGAATGGCTTGTATCCCACCGTGCGAACATCTGGCTCTGCTCTGACTACAATACCAAGATCGAAAGGTCAGCTGAACCAGTGGATCGAATCAATCTGCCCTTGTGTTACGAAAATAGCACAAGGACGTTTAGAAAAAAAATGCTTTCATTGCTTGATGCCAGTTTTTCCATTGGTCGTCAATTATAGCGTAAAGGTTGTGGCATGTTTCTATGAATAAACTGGACCGTCCATAAAGCACATACGCACAAAATACTGAGTTTTTAGACTCCCTCCCCATACGTACATGACATACGCAGTGGTTTTAACCCCCTACTGTGCGCAAGCGCAATCCAAATGTACAATGTATGAAATTGTTTTGAAATTATGAAGAAGTTGTTTTGGAATTATAAACACACTCTTGACTCAAAGTACATGTACTTGACCAAAACTAAATAGGAGCCCGTAAAATCACAATGATCGCCATTTGATTATGTCGCGGTCTTGTTAAGTTGAATGACCTTAAATCTAAATTGTGGGCAAAAATAGCCCCCCCCCCCTAGAACCGCCACTTCTTTGCCTCGTTTGACCCTAAAAGGGCCGGGTTATTTTTACCATCTCACAGCCGGGGGATCCCCCCCCCCCCTCCCACTAAGATCTTGGCCATCGACTACAACAAATTATGAAACTCGGTACGTGCATAGAACAACTATTCATGAACATACGCAAGAAATTTCATGAGTATAGGTTAAAGGGGTTTGGAATTATGGCTAATTAATCAGTCACATGCATGAATGGTAATTCTGCTCTGTGTGCACAACGTATACATTGTGAAATTCAGTTTTCACCGGAATTTTTTTCGCTGCGCAGCAACCAGTGGTCTGAATGTTATGTTTTTGGTATCAAAGATGCGCAAGGCCCGAGGCTACAAAAGTCGAAACAGCTTGGATCGCGAAATTTGTTTTCTTGAAAGCTATCGCGGAAAAAAAAGTTGAGGGGGGTCGGATTCCGGCCCGGCCCCTTTAGGGTTAAAGATTATTTACTATTAAGTTGGTCCTATTAGAACATGTGGATTTTACTGGTTTCAGAAAGCCACACGAATTATGATCGTCCTCGGAGCATTTGGCAGCGCACTTTTCTTCCTATTCCTCGGACCGTCGCCATTGCTGAACATACACTCGTAAGTAAAATCAGTAGTTAACGCCATCTCCTTTAGCCTTTTGGAAATTATGGCGGGCACAATAGGAGGGCGCTATTCTTTTTTTGGTAAATTTCGGTGAATATACAATGTACACAAGAGTTCAAACAAACCTAATAGTGCCCTCCGTATGTGTCTGCCATTATCTCTCAAAAATGTTAAAACCTGTTACGCTTATTGTCTTTCACAATTTAGGGAAACGTTCCGTAACCGTATCGCATTATTTCCTAAAACGGTATAAATAAATATTCAAAAAAGTATAATGTATCAGTCCAAAACAGGCAACATGTTTTCGTCTAGTTGTAGTCCATGACTGTGCGTAAAGATGCTGAAGACTTATTTTAGGTGTTCTTTGAAACTACAACCGATGATGTTTTTGCTTCTACAGCTCCAAGCTGCTTGTTATTCTTGTCATTCCCACTGGCACCATAATGATTAGCTTGATCGTTATGCCGACGTTTGTGGACATGTTCAGCTCTGCAGAGTAAGTGCCACTGATCTCCATAAAACACAATCTGTATAGTCCATTGGCTGTTAGAAGTGCAGTCACTGTCATCCATCTTACCACTCCAATAACAATAATTGTATTCATTTTGTAGATTGTAGTAAAAAACATATTCAATATTCGTGGCGTCACTTTAAGAGAGTGCCCCATTTGTTACATAATACTAGTTACAGTTATTGTCAATTTCTTTTGATATAGTATTTGTGCTTTCAATAGAATATAAAGCGATTTTGTTAAGAAATAATGCTAAATTAAACAGGCTGTGCCTTGAGGTTGAGCCTCCATTTATTGTGTTGGACTTCCCACATACAAAAACATTCATGAATATATACAGGGTTATCTTATTGACGCTTTTTGTCATTAATTTACCTCAACAGATGGTATGGTATTCCTACCAACCTTGGGTTGTCGTCCATACTATCTGGCGTCTGGACGGGTGCATTTTTTGTCGGGTACGTTTGCTGATTGGTTTCTGCAGATAATCCGGATAATCCCAATATGTTTGTGTTTGTTTTCTGTTAATGTTGTAGTTGTTGGTTATGGTTATGGTTATGGTTATGGTTTATTTATTCATATCATAGCACAAACAACATAATAAACAGGAAACTATATAAAGAATGACAAAGAATGATACGAGGGATGCAGGTAAAAAGCATATGTTTGTACAAGACCTGGAACCCGTAATTACAAATTAAGCTAATACATTAATATGTACATACAATAGGCTGAATTCTATCAGGTAAATACACTTATACTAATAACAATTGAAAATAAATAAAATTGTTTTGGTTGCTGCTGCAGTCAGTGCGATCTCTGTTACTTGTGATGCTTGTGATAATGCTGCTGCTGCCTATCACTGTTTTACTGTCGCTGATGCTGATACTTTCGATGATTATTGGCTGTTTCGGCACTTTTGCCGAAACAGCCTTTGTTTTCGTTAATGTTTTTTTTTTTCCTTTTTTTCAGCCATTCCTCATGGCTTTTGTACACGTTTTTACAGTGGAAGGCACTTTGGGCAATAAAATCAATCCGATTAACGTTATAATTGGCACACCCTTAGACCAGCATCTGAAGTTGTGTGCCGAAGATTTACGTCATGGTGACGTCATCGACTAATTTATTATAGAATTTTGAATATTTAATTTTTCCCTTAGACTTTGTACACAGAAATAAAAAAAAAAATTGTCGATTTTCAAAGGGCATTTTTAACTCTTTACCAGTAGTTCATTTGCACTAATCTTTGTTCAAGCAAAGACCTTTGTTTTCGTTAAAGTGTTTTTTTTGTGTTTTTTTTTCTTTTTGGCTGTTTCGGCACTTTTGCCGAAACAGCCTTTGTTTTCGTTAATTTCCCCCCCCCTCTTTTTCAGCCATTCCTCATGGCATTTGTACACGTTTTTACAGTGGAAGGCACTTTGGGCAATAAAATCAATCCGATTAACGTTATACTTGGCACACCCTTAGACCAGCATCTGAAGTTGTGTGCCGAAGATTTACGTCATTGTGACGTCATCGACTAATTTATTATAGAATTTTGAATATTTAATTTTTCCCATAGACTTTGTACACAGAAATAAAAAAAAAATGTCGATTTTCAAAGGGCATTTTTAACTCTTTGCCAGTAGTTCATTTGCACTAATCTTTGTCCAAGCAAAGACCCTAATTCAAACAACATTTGTGTAATGATGACTTCATGATGACGTCATCCGTGTGTATTTGTAGGCAATTAAATTGTGACACTTTTAATATTTAAAAATGCATAAGAAATCAACCGTACGCGTCCGCAGCATTCTGTTACCGGCAAGTGGTAGAGTAGGTTGAGGTCTTTATTTCATTTAGTGTGCGTGAAATCACGTGACCCTTGCTTCCGGTAGAAAAAGGCCAAAACCGGAAGTGGCTTTTTTTTTTAAATGGTAATAGATATGAACTTGCTTTTAACGCTGGTAGTCTCTTGGCTAAAAGTATTCTTCAAATCATCTACCAATGACGTCATGCAATCTTCGAGCGCCCTCTAGCGACAATTTGAATTTTTTTAAAAATGTATTTTGAATCGATTTATGTGGCGAAGTTTGTCGGAATCGCCTAAATATTGGTGTATTTGATAACCTTGACCCACCTAAGACGTGTGCGAAGTTTTAGGCGAATGACGTCATCAGACCGGAAGTTATAACGAAAAAAACCTTTTTCATTTGAAAATTCCTTAAAAATCAACCATGGCATTTTTTATTTTTAGTTTTTACTTTAATTGTCGATTTAAGGGTAGGTCTAAAACATTTCAAAGCTTTGAGGCAATAAGCGAACTCGGACATGCCCTGCGCATGCTTAAAACTTCAGGTTGACAATACCTCTGCTCTAAAACATGCACAGAACGTCTTTATGTACATACACGTACGTTACGCACATACATCGTGTGTCAGTCAGCCTGCAGAGCACGTGTTGCCGAGGTCAAATCCTGTCCACATCACAGTGACCTTTTTAGCCGATTTTCGAATAACTTTGACGGATTTAATGTTCATGCATGCGCATAGTCGGGGACGTATAATAAAAGATCATAATGCCGAAAAGTACGGAAGCGTATTGAGGACATGACCGCAAATATTTTTTAGGCCCTCTACTATTCCGCCAGGGCGGATTACTAATTCGCCCAGGGCAGATTACTAATTCTCCCGGCCGGGCAGACTACTTATTCGCCCGGGCGAATTAGTAATCCGTCCGGGCGACATAGTAATTCGCCCGGGCGAATTAGTAATTCGCCTGGGCGAATTAGTAATCCGCCCGGGCGAATTAGTAATCCGCCTAGGCGAAATAGTAATCCGCCCGGGCGAAATAGAGGGCCGGAATTTTTTTTTTGGTCATGTCCTCAATACACTTCCGTAGAAAAGCCCTATGTTACGTATTTAAAGGTGCAGTTTTTCTGCAGTGGGATTTTCCACAAGTCTTTTCCTATACAACACTGATATCTTACTGAGTAATTCTGAACTTCAGCCGAGAATTACTATGAAAAGGAAAGAGAAATCGTGTTTTTTTTCGCGCTGTCATTCGATTGAACATATTCCTAAGGGTCAGAATATCAAGTAATATTTTATAAAAATGTTTCAGTTCAAAGGCAAATTACAAATTTAAAGGTGCAATTTTTCTGCAGTGGGATTTTTTTTTTAGCCTGTTAACTTTGTACACGTGTTAGCCTATTGACTTTGTACACGTTTTCAAGTTACCATTTCTATAACTTGGCGATCTGGAATCGTCATCAATGTTACAGCGAAGAAAGACCCTCATACAAAAAATTATGCCAAAACTATGACGTCATGATGACGTCATCACCTAATTTTTTGATTGATTTTTGAAAATTTACTTGAATATTATGAGGTCCTATATCTACAGAACTGTAAGTCTGATTGGGTTGAAACTTGGTATGTGGCTAGACCGGGATGTGGTATAGGTAAAAAAAAAAATAGGTGACGCCATGATGACGTCATCCGGAGATTTTATATGAATATTTGAAGTTGTTGGCCTTTTCGCCATATCTCATGAACGTAACATGCAAAATTCAAAATTCTTTGGGTATTTGGTCTGTTAGGTAAAAGGTATTTGCACAAATCTGACACCATTATGACGTCATAAAAATGCGATTTTTCAGAATACACATAAGAAAAGGTCTGACTGTCATGAAACTTAGTGGGTAAGTAAATAATGGTACTAGTATACAAAGTTTATAGTGACGTCACGATGACGTCATCGTTTGGTTTTTATAATTTTTAGATATTTATAATTTTATTCTGCTTCCAAAAATTGCACACTTTCTTTCATCGGATTGACATTAAACTTGGTTCAAACCAAAATCACAATGACAAAATGTGCATTGAGAAGGGTCTTAAGGATGACGTCATTGCAGGGCAAGTGACATCATTTGATAAAATTATACTTTAGGGAATATTCTAACCGTTTTGAACAACCTTTAACTGCATGAAGCAATATCTACAGAACTACAGGTCTGATTGGGTTGAAATTTGGTATGCACCTAAACTGGGATGTGTTTTAGATGAAAATTTAAATGAAGTCATGATTTAGTCATCACGTGACATGTGACGTCATATCAAATGTGCATATTTTCAAGGCCAATATCTACAGAACTACAGGTATGATTGTATTCAAAGTTAGTATGTACCTAGACCGGGATGTGTTATAGATGAAAATTGCAGTGACGTCATGATGACGTCATCATGGGTTACGTGACGTCTCGTTAAAGATTAATAGATTTAATCTTTAAAAATCAATATAAAATCAACCGTGAGAGACCTGAACATGATTTTTGCGGGAATTGATAGATGCAAAATCACGTGACCCTTTTTTTCTGGTTGAAACCTGAAGTGCCTTGTAATTTAAAATTGGTGAAAGATGTGAACTTGCATTCAACGATGTATAATCTGGCTAAGTTCTTCTTTACCATAATATTATAGTTATAGATGGAACTTTATGTGAATTCATCATGACGTCATCACGTGACATGTGACGTCATAATTCAAAGCCCTATGAGAATGGAATCACATATTATATGCCACCATTTATTATAAACAGAACGTAGTGCTCAGTTGAACAGTTTCTTGCTTGATGGAACATATACTTGAAACTTTACATGTCACGTGTCACAAAAAGTTACCGAAACAGCCCTGTGTTTGTCCACAAACATAAGTCTAGTTTTAATATTGCTGCTGTAGGGGAAGGTACATACTCCCAACGTAGTTGCTCCTTTCAACTGCAACATTTCTCTTGTGGACAGGACTTTGATAGGGCCCTTGCTTGGGGGCGCCCTGACGGAGATCTATGGATTTGCTTTCGCAACTACAGTTTTAGCTGGGGTTTTAATCATTGTCATGATCGTGGTGTGTCTGTTTGGAGTCTGGGAGTATCGCTGTGGCAAAGGGTGAGTACACTGTAATAAAAGAAGCGCCCTTATTAGCTGCATAATTAATAGAACTGAACGAAGGAGTTTAGTCTTGGTTGAGTCGCTATGTACATTATATTAAGTTACTCGAGACCTGGTACTCCTAAAATTAATAAGCTTTCGTCAAGTTAAACAATCATTCACAACACTCGTGTATTTTTGTCCAAGTATCAAAACAATCCCATAAGTCTCCGGGGCACCCGGTGGTACAGTAGAAGGCAGAACAAGACGATAAACTCTTGTTATGATGTTTTAACATTGGACACAGAAGGTGTTTAAATAAAGGTTATGATAAGTGCCAGTTATCATGGTTATGAGAGTTTTCTGATTTTGTTTCATATGTAATCTGGCTCTTTGTTTTGCTGAAATAATTGTATCACTTATTTTATTGTGATCGTTGGACAAATTATAAAACCGTGTTTGTGTTTGAAAATCCATAACCGGTAAAGAACATGAAGGATTTGAATGATTCTTTACTACGACAAAGTTCACTACCTGGGCTTTCACATCCTTGATCTTGCGCGCTACATAGGACATTTATTCAACAATAGTGGGCAGCATTTGGGATTACTCTTTTTTTACCAACCATGTACTGTTAACAGGTAAGCATTTCATATTGTGTGACCTTACAGGAGACGGGTCCCGAGATCACGGCTTGAGATGGAGGCTAACACAACTAACGAGGAACAGAAGCCACTTATTTCAAGTGATGTGTGATGTGCGTTTCTGAATACTTCCTACAAGTCAACTATTGCTGGTCCAATTTCATTAATTGACTGACTGATTGACTTGACTTCAGTAATGGTACGTTCTTAAAAGTCATGGACGTTATGAGGTCAGGCTGTGTGCAAGGATAGAGAACATATAAGTATTAATTAGTTTGCATCAAAGGGTACCAGCGACGCTCTAGGCTGGCCTAGTCTTCTTTTCAGAGGTTCTACGCCCAATTATTATATGTGTACAGCACTTAATTTGTTTGGGAGGCCTTGTTGCATGTTTAAAATTACTAACTAACACATTAACGAGATTCTTCTATGACGGCACAAAGTAGATTATTTTTGTCATATATTATCAACTTATTTAACCATATAATTATTATAACAACTTAAGTAAAACCTATTATGTGTACTACTATACACTATTTTTTATTGAAATTAGACTTTGTTGGTTATATTTCTTTATCGGGATAATGTGTATATTGGTGTTTGGGAATTATAGTTTCTTAATTGCTTGTATCAAAGCTGAAGGTGCGAACCATGAATTTCCGGTGTTATTCTATTCATCTCTCTTACAGGAGATTCATTGTTTGTTTATTTGTTTGTTTTTTTTTATATATAAAAAGTCCCAACATTCATTGCTTCCACATGGTGATGGGAAGTACTTTCAACGGTGGCGTTCGAGTAGCTTGTTTGTGTATACACGGTTGTACACTCGATGAAGTCACAATATGAGGCTAATAAGACTGAAAGCTGGATTGGATTTAATCCAGATTTCGGGAACAAAGCCCTGATTGTCTAACAGCATAGTATCATCTACAATGATCACAGAATGGCCGGTCTTAAATTTCGCTAGATCAGACCGAGGCTCATTGGGGCCATGCCAAATGGGGCCAATTTTGCACGTAATCAATATTTTGAGAACAAGAAAGAAACCTGTATCATTTGATAGTTTGGCACTTATAGATAATGGAAATATAACTCAAACACAATTTAGATCAGACCTTTAAGAGCGGCGCGAAAAGCGCAGAGGGGCGTGGCCGTCACCCGTCTTCCTTTTTCACTGATACCGTAGCAACGCGACGATAGAAAAGAAAACGAAACCAATTTCTACTGATGCCTTGGTACTTGTAGAACAGACTTATTAACTTAGTAGCGGCGTACATATTCGCTTATATCCTCGCAATGCACTTTTAAATCCAAGTGCCAAGTTTCCCTGACAGGTTTGCTGCAGTCTTTCAGATATTTTTTTTTACACCACGTTTATGAAAAGAGGCACACGTTTGTCGTAAAATGTCCATTTTCCAAAAACAGGTGGGCCTAACTGTATACATGTACACAGATTTGCTAAAAAAATTAGAATAAAAAAACAAAACCAATTGTTACTGATGCCTTGGATGTTGCTGAAATTGAAAATGTATCTTAAGAGTGATTTTAGACCATACTAATCAACTTAAGAGCGGCGCAAAAAGCACGTAGGGGCGTAGCCGCAACATTGGTGGCAAACGGGTGTATTTTGAAGGGGAAAAATCATTGTCAATGTTCAAGGTCTTCTTTTTTTTTTTTTTTTACCAGAGATTAAACCAATTTTCTAGCACAGGTTGTGAATAATGTTTTGAATGAACAGTAGAAATGTCAGTTTTTTGTCTCTACTGAGTTTTTAGATAGTCTGTGTAGCACCCGTTATACACGGAGCAATGTCTGATATGTCAAAGCATGCAGATTTATGCGATCTCGCATCTCTTTCATTCCCAAATCAGGACTAAACGTTTGATTGATCAATTCGAAAATTCGGTATTTTGTATAACAACCTGGAGCGTATCGCGTAACGTATAATACAGAGCGCGAGACCACAGCCTTTGATGCAGTTTCTAATAGGGTGTTTTTAATCCATGTCTATGACGCGACAAGGTTGAATGACCGAAGACCCGATATAGAAAGTACCTGCTGATTGGTCCAAATCTAGAGGTCAAGATGCGGTTGTATTGCATAATTAATCAGCGAATCTTCTCAAATGTTATAGACCCTAGCTTTTGCCACTAGTTTTGGGTAGAGGCAATTTGAAACTAGTTACATTATTTTCACCATGATGTACCACATAATTAATAGGATTACTTTAAGCCCTAAGGCTGAATGTTGAGAAAACATATCTAAATGCAATATCTTTGTACTTCTACGATGCGAATAACATATACTGCCTATAACACGGCAAAAAGGTGTGTCTTTTATAGTTACCCCCTTTTGCTCTTCTAGCACAAAACAGGGAGTATTTCACACACCCTTTTGTCATAGAAGCTGAATCAAACAAGCACATTTTTTGAATGAGATGCGCCCTGCTATCTCTAAAAGACCGTGAAATAAAGGTCTTTGAAGGCCCCAATCACCACAAAAAAGTTCACAATCGAAGTTACACCCTTTTGCCGTGAGGGGGCTGCAGGCTTTCCATGTAAATGTTCGCATATATTATTGCAATGCGCTTAATGCTAGCTGATGTCTTTCGGTTATTTTGAAACCAATTTTATAAAAATAGAGCACACCTTCGTCGCAAAATGTTCATTTTGCAAAACGGGTATAACAAAATAGGCCTAATTGCTAACTCTTCCCGTTACATTGCCCAAGTTTAATGTTGGGGCCGCGCGATAGTCCGAAGGAGCGATAGTCCGAAGGTCCGATAGTCCTAAGGTTCCTTAGTCCGAAGGTTCGATAGTCCGAATGCACAAAATTTTCATAAGAGGGGGTTCGTTAGTCTGAAAGTGAAATAATGTTCGTTAATGCGAACATTTGATGCAATAGTCCGAAGGTTTATTAGTCCGAAACGAAAATGAGGTTCCAAAGTCTGAAGGTTCATTATTCTAAATTGACAATACGTTCGATAGTCCGAAAAGACTATCAGGTCCGATAGTCCGAATCGACAATAAGGCCCTATGGTCCGAATAGACAATAAGGTCCGATAGTCCGAATCAACACTAATGTCCGATAGTCCGAAGTGTCAGACTGACGAACCGTACTGTCTATTCGGACTATCGAACCTTATTGTCAATTCAGACTATCGAACGTCATTGTCAATTCGGACTATCGAACCCTACCGTATATTTGAACTATCGAACATTATCATCTTTCGGACTGTAGAACCTTATTGTCGATTCGGACTATCGCGCCCCATCGTTATTCGGACTATTGAGCCTTCGGACTATCGGGCTGTAACCGTTTAATGCACATGAGAGTGCGTATGATGAGAGTGCCGACTTTAAATGATAATAAAACAGGTTGAATTGAAACTTTACAGATGTACTACATAATGTTCGGGTTCTTTTAATTACAAATGTTAAATTTGTTCAATGCCTCTTAGTTTTATCCTTTCGAAAATTCAAACCATTTTCGTGGGATTTTCCGTTCCATTTCTCTCCGGATTGGATCGTTTGGATTAACTGAACCTCTTTAAATATTTTAATGTTTGAACACTCAAATATTGCAAATTAAAAATGTCATCCTTTTTTTACATTAATTTGTCCAACTTGAAATGGTCAAGTTTTAAGATCGAATGTTACGTATTAGCTATATAAAAATTGATTGGTATAGCTAAGCCGTACCCCATATGAGAATCTCAGGGTAACATCTTTCAGTTCTGCTCCACATTTTTTTGTAAGGGGGGAGATCTGTCGAAAAGTCAAATGGCCAAAAATGAAGGTTTTTAACAGACTTCCCCCTTTTCAATGGCAGTGACGCAGCATTTTCAAATCGATATCGATAAGTTGAAGCGTCTTATTACAAAACCACTCAAAATGACATCTCAAGTTCTCATACATTTACTTAGGTTGATTTTATCATTTATTACACTTGTATAATGAAAAATTACTCAAAAAATAAAAAGACAGCAATAACTGCAAATACAGTTTTTGGTATTTTTTTAATATTCCAGGCACAATGTGGTTTAAGTAGTCACCAAAAGAAATACAAATAGTGATTTATTTAATATAATATAATTTTATTTTATTGATTGATTGATTTTTTTTGGGGGGGGGGGGCAATTAAACCTGCACATTTTACCCACACAAGACGAATGGTATTTAGATGACAGAAATTTTGTTCAATCTGTACTGATTGAGCACTACTCATTGTGAGTTTTCAACGGACAAAAAGAGCTTGATGAGCACATACATCACAGACCGATTACATATGTAACTTGTCAAAAGTCTCATCAAATTTAAGTAGCCCCTTTCTGTTTGAAAACATTCTTGAGATAAAATGAATGTATATTCCCCTATTTGGAAGCTTTGAGTGGCAGCATTACAACTGAAATTATTTCGTTTTAGCTAAAACGTTACCGTTTTTATTATTTTAAATATTGTTTTCAACCAGATGTGTTGTTGTTGCACCATCCATTCCGTGAAAACCGCCAATAAACCCCAACGGCTCACCCGCTTCCCTTTTTGAGGCTGCATCGAATTTGTATTTTTTCAGGCATAACTTTTTTGAAAGATATTTCGGCAGTTCAGATGTTCCACCAGATGCCACGCACTTAACATATGTTACCCTGAGATAAGAGTTCACAGAATTATTCTGATCTGGGGTTAAACCATATCAATCAATGCTTATGTAGCTAATACATAACATTCGATCGTAAATTTAAAACTTGATCATTTCATGTTGGACAAAACTATAACGAAGATATTTTGGCATCCCGATGAGAAATCAAAAGAAGCATAATCTAGCAAGCACTCATTAGCCGAGTTCAGGCGGGTCTTGTTCTTGACACGGTTAAATCATTCTTGCAAACCCTTACGGATAGGTGGTGTGAGATCCTGTTCCGAGTGCAGCGTTCGTGGGTCGTGATCCCGCCGTTCGAGCGCGAGAACAATAAATACAACTCCGTCAAGAATATACCGCCCCCAACTAGGACGGCCATTGAGTGAGAAAAGGTTTCTGACTATGTCAATAGAGTGCGCTATTTTCTATTTTTTTTTCTCATGAGGAATTTTTGGCGCTTTTATCCCAGATTTTCTCTTTCCCAAACATACTGCAGATCGGGAAACAACGTTTTTTTTTCGCTATGGTACATCATAATCTACATGTCTGTGAAGTTTTAAAAAAATCGGAAAACCCGACCGCGTGGCGAGCGAAAAAAAAGGCCTCGTCCCACGGACTAAATGCTTTAATCGATAATTACACTGGCTCAGCGGATAAGAGCACCGGACTCATGCTCTGGTGTTTCATAGGCAACCGTGGCGAGGGTTCGAGCCCGGGCCCGGACACTTGTGCTCATAAGCAATGCACTTAACCATTATTGCTTCGTCCTTCGGATGGGAGCCGGAGGTCCCGTGCCTAACGCACGCAAAGGAACCCAGTAACAAAGTATCGCTAAGAGAAGGGGTTTGCCCGGTGTTTCTAGCCTCCTAGTTATACTCCCTTGTGGAAGTCCTTAGGAGAAGAACCAACCAAGTACACTGTGCCAAAAATGAAATTTATTGGTAAATAAAACTGAATCTCAACGACGCTCTCGGAGTAATTTATAATGCAATTTTCTTTTATGTAAGAATTGTCATCCATCTTAATGAGTGGATATTTTAATTCTTACCCCTTCTCAAAAATTAAAAGTGGGATAATTTTCGTCCGCTTTTGGAGCATCAAACGTTTTGAGATTGTTTGTATTTGTCCACTTTTAAGGTGCCGCGATAGTCGTCAAAATAAAATCCAAATTTCTGCTAGTAGGAAATTGAGTTTTTGGAAAACCTGAAATTTTACTAGCAGAAAATGGGAAAATCCGGTTGTCAGTATTGGCGCCCCATAATATACGCAGAATTTAACGAACAAACGCAGGAGTCACTGAGGGTTTCTTTTTCAATCGTGGAATAATTCTTCTGATGCTTATTGTGGTTATTACATAGTACACCATTCAAGCATAATAGTGCTATAGTCGAGCGCTCCCGTGCTTGGGTCAGTCACGAGATAGCCGCGTGAGTACATGTAACTTCAGCCGGTACCGTGTGCTAAGCTACCCCACCCAGGACTCAATCTACCGCCGCCCACCCCCGCACTGAGGTAATTAGGTACAAATACTACATTAATTGGCGACGAGGATAAAACTGTTTAGCATGTGGAATGAAACTAGCCCAGTAAATGTGGCCAATTTACTGGACTTCCTCCGTAAATAAAGACCACCACCTTATACAAAAACATGTCGAACTTTGTCAAATTTTGATTTTCACATTTAGGCTTAGTTTCTAGTTTATTTTGCTTTAGAAGCTTTTTCAGAAATTGCTGCCTTTTTCCGATGTCTTTTTTCACGAAATTTTCAGATTCTTTGCAAACGTTTGCGTATCAAAATTTCAACACGAAATTTCACGTAAATAAAGACATTTGAAAAAGGCAGCACTTTCTGATTAGCCTATACAGAGGGTGAGTATGCTTCTAATGCAAAATAAACTACAAACTAAGCCTAAATGTGAAAATCCAAATTTGAAAAAGTTCCACATGTTCTTGTACATGATGGAAGTGTGGCCTTCATTTACGAAGGTAATCCAGTAAATTGGCCACATTGGGGCTAGAATGAAACCTGAATTGTTTATGAATTTACTTTGTTTGACATCATTCGGCGTTCGTTGGAATTTGCCAGTCTGAGA